TATATATTTATTGTAGTGTGTAAAAGTACTGACCAATAGGGCAAATTGACGTAGATTCCATTATCAATGTAGCATAAATTCAAAGTTAATTTTCTTGCAATCCACTAAACTGATTTTTACGATTTTTTTTAACGTAGCCTGATTCTAACGAACAAACGCTTTACACAAAATTATTTTTTTAATTTTAGTTTGGATTGTATAGATACTATAAGGTCTACGAATGATGATAGTTTTTTGCTTGAAATGGCAACTCTCTGGGGTGCTTCGATTAAAATAGCCGGTATCTGCCGACGTCATGATGTATTTTGATTCGCGTTGTTATTTCTACATTCCCTACTTCTGCCTTATTTGTCCTGAATCTGTTATCGGCCAAATCCGATTCCAGGATAATTTGGTCTTGACGAGGTTAGACAAATTTACCCAGAAATCGAGAAAAAAGGCTTAGGTCAAACTGACTTTTCCAGAAATTGTATAAGATCAAATTTTATATTTAGTAATTTGTATGTTTGAAGCGCGGCGTTGTACGGGTACAAAACATGGACAGTGGGCGCGGCGGAAAAGAAAAGGTTAGAAGCGTTCGAGGTGTGGTGTTACCGGCGAATGATGAGGATACCGTGGATAGATAAGGTTAGAAATGAAGAGTTATTAGAAAGAATAGGAGATTAGAGGACTCTTTTAAAGTCAATAAAAAATAGGCGACATAGGTTGGTAGGACACTTGGGCATGAAGGTCTAGTCAGAAATATATTAGAAGCAGAATCAAGAGTTAAGAGGAGTAGAGATAGACTTAGAGTAGATTACTGGTTGCAAATAGTTAAGAATGTGAGATGTTTTAGTTTTAGGGAAATGCGAAGATTAGCTCAGAATAGGAAACAGTTGAGGTGCGTGTCCAACCAGTCTTAGGACTGACGATCTTATGATGCTGATGAATTTAGTTTGCGGGCATACATCTATATAAAAAGTGTATTTTTTACTTAGGCAGGATTGAAGTGTCAATATTTTCTTCGTGTAAAAGTTTTTATGCTACTAGAATTGTTAAAAATAATGAAAGAAATAACTATTTCGGTTACATACAATAGATTATTTTCGGTTAACCTTAACCTTAACCAAATGCGATGTCATTTAATATTCCTCATAAATACAACTTGTGAGATTCAATAACCTCGAGCAAGTCACGTACTTTTAGGTTTTATCTTCAATACAATCTCCACTGCAACAACACTAAGATTTGCATCTATCAGTATCTGCTCTGCAGAAAGCTTTCGTGATTTGCGGAGATCCTTTTATATAAAATGATACGAATGCTGAGGCAGACGAGCTGTATCGACTTTCGGAATGAATAAAAACAAGAAACCGCGTCAGCATCAGCGTATCCAAGTCCCTTTTTTAACAATGCGAGACATTTTGTAAGGAGCCGGATAAAGCAGCTTATTTCCAAATAAGTGGCATTGTCCTCGTTTACATTGAATGAAAAAGTAAAACGTATTTCCATAATTTGACATTTATGAGTAAAACGACTAGCTATATTTAAACGGTCTAGACGGTATTGAAATTGTAATTTGGAGCTAAAAAGAGAACAGTTTTCTGTATTTACAAATATAAGAAAATCGTCATGTACACTTGATAAAAATAACATTTTTTTCATTTGAGTTATTTAAAGTTTATTAAAGAAATAGCAAGGTAAAAAATTTAAATCGATATTTTCTTGTTGGATTGTAGCTAACATTAGAGATGATACTGAAGTAGTGTTTACTTTTATCCAATTTGTTTTATCCGAAAAGGAAAGCTCGAATACGTGAAATGAATGACATTTAATCGCCGATTTTATGTTTCAATTTTAAATTTGCACTTATACTATTTGTCATTTGAGCTACAATGGCGTAACGTTGCAATTAACTTCAAAGTTTCATTGTTGAATTTTGGTAGTGGACATACACACAAAATACTTCATTGTTTTTTATAACTGAAATTAAACAATAATAAGTAGTCAAAACACTAAAGAGTTTGTGGTATTTTAGAATAAAATTTGGTTTATACCGCTTTCCAATGTACTGAGGAATCTAATTATTGAACTGATGTTATTCTGATTCGGGCTTAAAGGCCGTCGTCTGTTGGAGTTGCTTCCTAACGTATCGCTAGCACGAGTAGCGAGCGTCTTCAGAGGTCCTTCTATTTCCGAAAATTTATTATTAATTTCAATCCACTATAAATTACCTCAAGTTGACAAGGAAAAATTGTTGCTGATGTTACCTCACGTAGCCAAAGGTCCCGGGTTCGATCCCCGGCGAGGGTGTGACAACNTATGAAAGCTTTAGATATTAAATTAGTCAATTTCAACTATTTTTGAGGTTATGGGAGTCTACTTGACGCTACCTATGCACGTGTCCTTCAATAGCGCCATGTTCTTTAGACTGCTGCTATTTGACGGGTACGAATGCAAAAAAAATTTTGCAAAGAAACAAGAAACTTCCTGAAAGCGAGACTCGAGTCTCTCTGGTGTCGCTGAAATATTTGTAACATTATAATCTAATATTTAAGCACTTTTTGTAATATTAAGAAAATATAACCGTAGCCTCCATAAAGACTCGTAATAGTAGGGGAAACGTCGATTGAGTTTTATAAGATTAAAAAATTTTTACAACCCTTTATATAAGCTTGATCTCTTTTATATAATTGGATAAGGGGAAGAAATGGAAAATGTATAATTTTCTCTCATATCTCGTATCTACACAAATTGATATTACTTGGAGTTTCCTTGATATTCCGATTTCATTAATAATTTTACTGTTATAATGAATCATTGTAGCTATTAGCTGCAGTAGTTATTGCGTCTATTTTCGTAGATAATGTGTTCTGAAAATAAAAGTAATACAGAACAAAAATATAACGATGATAAAAACCAACTAAAATGACATATAGAAACGATACGGGCCTGATAAATCAAAAGAATTGCTTTTTTACGTGCGTACAAAATTTATAGCAGCTTTTCAAATTTCATTACAAATTAGTTTTTGCTCCTTTCATTTCCACAAACGCACTTCACGCTGTTTTATAGCTTTCGAGGGGGTGGGTTTCTCTCGTTCTTTTTTAGTTTTTTTTTTCAAACCGCTTTTATATTTTCGAAAGCAGTTTAGTACATATAGTACAAAAACAAATGAAAAGTGTAACTGTAACAATCGAAATCGAGAATTACAATTCAATAGTTTTTATTGGAACCCGTAGAATAAGCATACACCATCTGGTGAAGAAACTTGTAACTTGATTAGGGACGTTGGAATTGGTACAATTGTTTATCAGAAATATAAAACGCGTTTTTAGTTAAGAGAAAAAAAGTTGGATTGTTTTATATAATAATTTGATAATGACCTCAAAATGTTTTCGGGCAAATCAAACAGAAAGTAAAAATCAGTATAGCATCACCTTGAACTGTTTCCATTACTTCCTGATGAAAACTAACTACGTTATGTATGCAAATTGGTAGGTATATAAAAATCATAACTGGAAAATTAAAGAAGGAAACTAAACTAGAAGCTTGTATGAAAGCTTTAGATATTAAATTAGTCAATTTCAACTATTTTTGAGGTTATGGGAGTCTACTTGACGCTACCTATGCACGTGTCCTTCAATAGCGCCATGTTCTTTAGACTGCTGCTATTTGACGGGTACGAATGCAAAAAAAATTTTGCAAAGAAACAAGAAACTTCCCTTCATCTTTAGCAACGCCAGTGAAATTCACTAATTGACATTTTTTGTTTTATTACCATAACGTGATATCGGAAATAAAAAAAAATTAATCAAAAC